CTACTGAACCATGGCTATTAGTTATATTAGTGAAAGTGAAATAACAGACTTTATTATTTTTTATTTCTGTAGCTATATTTTATTATTGTTCAGTCACTTTATAATTACACACTTTAAAGGTTAATAAATATGGTTACAATGACAATGTGTAATTCAGGGGGAAAAATGGAAAAAAGTGGAATTTAGAAAAATAAAAACAGAAAAAGGGATTTTGAACAAATAAAACAGATTTTATGGAGCCCTATAATGGTTAGTTTTTATAGCTGATGTTTCCAGTGTTTTGGAGCTCTGGACTGAACAGAGCTCAGTGTTACAAAGAGAAACTAGGAGCTGTGTGTCACTGTCCTCACCACACTGGACCTCCTAACAACTACAGCCTCCACAGAGAGCAGGAAGACACAAATTATAAAACATTAGTAAAATTATTTAGGTCCACACGTTCTAAAGCTCGTGTGCTCAAATAAAACTTAGCAGAAGCTAAATCTAAAGCACAAACTGGTCTCAGAGTTCATCACAATATATTCCAGTGATAACATGAGCCACTCTTGTACCATCGTGTCATCTAGAGGCCTGACAAACTGCTTTCACAGATCGACACACGTCGTCGCAGTGATTTGATTTGTTAAAACAGAATGTTGACTCATGGTGTAAAAGACAAATAGTTGTGGTTTTATAGCTCTGCTAGCATTTTTCTTTCTTCTCTTCTGTGCTACAGCCACAGCTCAACACTCAGCAGCAGCCAGAAGGCTACAAACAGAAACAACACTTAATCTTACCGTACACTGAGACACCACATCTGATTTTACTCCTCTTCAGCCTTTTGTTATATTTTTTAATGCTGCACATAAAGGGTTGGGTTTTTTCGGCCCGGGACCCAAAAGGTTTTCAGTGCACTCCAGTCCAGCCTCCATTCTTCACCAAAAGTCAACAAAAACGTGTCCAGGAAACCAAAACGGCCTAATTACATATGGGACTCAGTCCATTCCTGTCCAAACCACAGAGATGCTGTTCACACTGGATTAGTGTTATCACAGCACCTCTGGGTTCAGTGAAATATAGAAGGTGATTTGCAGGGAAATATTTACTTTACAAATGACTGACATGGCCGACTCGTATGGGATTAACAACACATAATCTCTGTCATTACTACAAGTAGCATGGGGTCCCTAGGTAAAATAATCCTGTCAGAGTAGAGCTTTAGTTTCTCTGAACTCAGGCTTTACTGACTCAGCGTTTTCACAGAACCCTCTGAGAACCTGCAGAGAGAAGTGAGGAGTTTGGACCTGTGTACCTGTGGGTTCTGTCGAGCCAGATCCTCAATCTTCAGCCAGATCTCCTCCCGTTCCTTCAGCTTGTACTTCTCTCTGCAGCACACACACCAGGAAGTGTCAGCTTATGTGTGACTGCTCTGAAAATGTTATCCCTGATGATGTCATCCTGTGTGTGTGTGTGTGTGTGTGTGTCTGTGTGTGTGTGTGTGTGTCTGTGTGTGAGTGTGTGTGTCTGTGTGTGTGTGTGTGTGTGTACTTTTGTTTCTCGGCCTTGTACTGCTGCGTGCAGTCATCAAACAGCTTTTGGTTCATCTCCATAAAGAGCTTCAGAGCGTTGTAGATCAGACCGTGGATGGTCCTGAGGAGAACAGGAGGAACTTCACCAGGTCAGTCGAGACAAAACCAGGTCCTGAACCAAGAGTTGCTCAGAAACATCACTGTTACTGACTCTGTCCTAAAGTACAGGACTGTTCCTGGTTGGGTTAGGTATCAGGTGGGTCAGGTGTGTGTCAGGTGGGTCTCAGGTGTGTCAGATGTCTGTCAGGTGTGTTTCAGGTGGGTCAGGTGTGTCTCAGGGTGTGTCAGGTGTGTGTGTCAGGTGGGTCAGGTGTGTGTGTCAGGTGTGTCAGGTGTGTGTGTCAGGTGTGTGTCAGGTGGATCAGGTGTGTGTGTCAGGTGTGTGTCAGGTGGATCAGGTGTGTGTGTCAGGTGTGTGTCAGGTGGATCAGGTGTGTGTCAGGTGGATCAGGTGTGTGTGTCAGGTGGATCAGGTGTGTGTCAGGTGTGTGTGTCAGGTGTGTCAGGTGTGTGTGTCAGGTGAATCAGGTGTGTGTGTCAGGTGTGTGTCAGGTGTGTGTGTCAGGTGAATCAGGTGTGTGTGTCAGGTGTGTGTCAGGTGTGTGTGTCAGGTGTATCAGGTGTGTGTCTCAGGTGTGTGTCAGGTGTCTGTCAGGTGTGTATCAGGTGTCTGTCAGGTGTGTGTCAGGTGTGTCTCAGGTGTGTGTCAGGTGTGTCTCAGGTGTGTGTCAGGTGTATCAGGTGTGTGTCAGGTGTCTGTCAGACACCTGAGACACACCTGACACACACCTGTCAGGTGTATCAGGTGTGTCAGGTGTGTCTCAGGATGTGTCAGATGTCTGTCAGGTGTGCCTCATGTGTTTCAGGTGGGTCAGGTGTGTCTCAGGTGTGTTTTAGGTGTGTCAGATGTCTGTCAGGTGTGTCAGATGTCAGTCAGGTGTGTCTCAGGTGTCTGTCAGGTGTGTGTCAGGGTGTGTCAGGTGTGTCTCAGGTGTGTCTCAGGGTGTGTCAGATGTCTGTCAGGTGTGTCTCAGGTGTGTTTCAGGTAGGTCAGGTGTGTATCAGGTGTGTCAGATGTCTGTCAGGTGTGTCTCAGGTGTCTGTCAGGTGTGTGTCAGGTGTGTCAGGTGTGTTTCAGGTGTGTCAGATGTCTGTCAGGTGTGTCAGATGTCTGTCAGGTGTGTGTCAGGTGTGTCAGGTGGGTCTCAGGGTGTGTCAGATGTGTCTCAGGTGTGTGTCAGGTGTGTCTCAGGTGTCTGTCAGGTGTGTCAGGTGTGTCTCAGGTGTGTGTCAGGTGTGTCAGGTGTGTTTCAGGTGTGTCAGATGTCTGTCAGGTGTGTCAGATGTCTGTCAGGTGTGTGTCAGGTGTGTCAGGTGGGTCTCAGGGTGTGTCAGATGTGTCTCAGGTGTGTGTCAGGTGTGTCTCAGGTGTGTGTCAGGTGTGTCAGGTGTGTTTCAGGTGTGTCAGATGTCTGTCAGGTGTGTCAGATGTCTGTCAGGTGTGTGTCAGGTGTGTCAGGTGGGTCTCAGGGTGTGTCAGATGTGTCTCAGGTGTGTGTCAGGTGTGTCTCGGGTGTGTGTCAGGTGTGTCAGGTGTGTCAGGTGTGTTTCAGATGTGTCAGATGTCTGTCAGGTGTGTCAGGTGTGTCAGATGTCTGTCAGGTGTGTCTCAGGTGTCTGTCAGGTGTGTGTCAGGTGTATCAGGTGTGTCAGGTGTGTCAGGTGGGTCTCAGGGTGTGTCAGATGTGTCTCAGGTGTGTGTCAGGTGTGTGTCAGGTGTGTGTCAGGTGTGTCAGGTGTGTCTCAGGTGTGTTTCAGGTGTGTCAGATGTCTGTCAGGTGTGTGTCAGGTGTGTCAGGTGTGTCTCAGGTGTGTTTCAGGTGTGTCAGATGTCTGTCAGGTGTGTCAGGTGTGTCAGATGTCTGTCAGGTGTGTCTCAGGTGTGTCTCAGGTGTGTCTCAGGGTGTGTCAGGTGTGTCTCAGGTGGGTCTTACTTGTTCCAGTGACTCTTGGAGTTCTTGTAGAGGGCAGGGAACATGATGGGGAGGATCTTGGCAGCGTTGTCACTGATCAGACTCATGATGTACTCATTGTTCCAGTAGTACAGAGCTCTCTCTGCCACCTGAACACACAGCATCATCTACATCAGAACCACTCCAGCCTCGGACGGTTGGACTCCTCTGGTTCTGGTTCTGTACCTGGAAGTGTGGGCTGGACACACACTTGGCCAGCTGTCTGAAAAGTGGCTCCTGAACTTTGACGAACTCTGACGGCTCGATGACGTCCAGGATCTCCTCCAGCTCGTTCAGGAACATCACCTCTTTTGGACTGTGAGTCTTGGGCCAGAACTTCAGCAGACCCATGATCACCTGCAGGACCACACCTGTTCAGATACTCACGTCTTTCTGTTACCATGTAAACCTAAGTATAGTCCCCATACCCTGATATGGTCATGGTAACGTCATTATAACAGTGTGTGGCGTTCCCTTACCGGTTCTGTCAGGCTGCTGTCCTTTTCCAGAAACTGAACCACACAGTAGGCCAGCTGTGAACACACACACACACACACACACACACACACACACACACACAC